CTTTGTCATTCTGTGCTGCCTTTTGGAATCTTCTGTTCAGCTCTTTAGTATCTTGAATTCTTCCTTGTGCTTTGGCTTCTCTATGCTCCAGTGCAATCTTTAGAGTTTCTTCTGACATCCATTTTGGTATTTTCCTCTTCTGTCTTTGTAGTGACCGTTTGCACCCTTCCTGGATGGTACATTTGACATCCTCCCACAACTCATCTGGTCTTTGCTCATTAGTGTTCAAGGCCTCAAACTTGTTTCTGAGATGGTTCTGAAATTTAGGTGGGATGAAATCAAAATCATATTTTGGCTCCTGTGGATTCGGTTTAATTTTCCTCAGCTTCAGCTTAGTAACCTAAAAATTGGTAGTTTGAAGCCATACAACAACACCACTGAAGAAAATTCTCATCACTATTGAGTTAGAACTAACCCGTAACTGACCCTCCAGCAGGTTTTCAGAGCCTGTAAATCACTTGAGAGGAGATTGCCCAGCTTTCTCCCTCAAAGCAGCTGGGGGATTTGAACCACATGCCTTTTGATTGGCAGCATAACTATCCTCGAGGCCACCAGGGGTCCCTTTCCATAAAGATTACAAGCAGAAAAACCTATAGAACAGTTCTACTTTAGCATGTGGGGGTCACCATGTAATTAGAATCAATAGCAATAAATTCCCTCCTTCCCTTTGGATGAATGGATGAACAAGATCAAACAATAATTAAATGCTCTGAAGAGGAAATTAGTATTCATGTGATGGAGCCAAACCAATTAGTATAGTGTTGGAGGAGTCTAGGGTATCATAAACTGTTTGCGTTAGACTTGTAACTAAAGGTTGGTGATGTGAACCCACCTAGCAGTGCTGAAGAAAGCTCTGGTGTGCTAGTGGCAAGAAGCTGTGCTGCAATCCTGAAGGCATGTGGTTTGAGTCCACCTGTATGACCAAAACCTGCCTCTGAAAACCTGCCAGAGGGTCAGCTATGGGTCGGTTTTGACTATGGTACACAACAACAGCAGTGCTGATAGGAGGTCTGATGGCTTAGTGGTAAGGAGCTGTGCTGCAATCCCAAAGACACTCAGTTCAAGCCCACCAGCTAGCTCCACAGGAGAAAGGTGGGCAATCTGTCATGCAATTAAACTGCCTCTGAAAACCTGCTGGAGGGTCAGTTATGGGATAGTTCTGATTCCACACAATACAACAAGCAGTGCTGATAACATCATGATAGGTGGAAAAAGGATTGAAGCTATCAATGATTTCTTCTTGCTTGGATCAACAACAGTTTTGGTACCAGCAGTCAGGAGAACTGTTGCATTGATTAAGTCCACTGTCAGTGACCTTTTCAACATATGTAAGAGCAGTGGTGTCAGTTTAAAGACTAAGGTGTGCCTGATTCAGGCTATAGTTTTGTCAATTGCTATGTGAGAGCTGGACAGTAAATAATGATAGAAGAAAAAATGATAACTTTGAGTTTTGGTGTTCAGGAAGAGGGAGTATTAAATATCCCATGGACTGCCAAAGAGCAAACATGTATATCTTGGAAAACATGCAACCAGAGTCTCCTTGGAGGCAAGGATGGCAGCTTTGTCTCTTTTGCCTTGGGCATGTTGCTGGAGAGGCTGTTCCCTTAGAAGGGGACGTCATACTAGGAAAGGTGGTGGTGGTGGTGGTGGTTATGTGCCGTCGAGTTGCCTGCGACTCATAGCGACCCTATGTACAACAGCCCTAAATTCTGCTCTGTCCTGTGCCAATCTCACTGTCTCCAGCACAACCATCCTGATTACCCCAGTCACTGAATCAGTCTACCTCATCGAGGGTCTTCTGCACTGGAAAGGTGAGGGTCAGCTAAATAGAGGAAGACCTCCAACAAGATGGATTGACACAGTTACTGCAGCAGTGGGCTCAAGTGTGTCAGAGATGATGAGGGTGATTCAAGGGTGATCTGAACAAGGTTCAGATCTGTTGTTTAAGGGTTACTATGAGTCATACTCAACTTACTGGCACCTGATAACAAAGCTGCAGAAGAAAGGCCTGGCCATCTGCTTCCAGAAAGTTTCCAGCCAAGAAAACTGGAGCCGTTCTGACTCAGGGCCACTCACAAGGCAGTTGAGGCTCGGGAGGGGAGCAGGAAGGGTCTGGGTTTGCAGATGTAGTGGTGGGAGAGGGGAGATAAGAACAGGAATGAAGGCATTCAACTAGAGCCTAGAGTGTGTGGCCCTCTCTGCAGTAGAGCCACCAGGTGTAGGTCAAGATGGGGAGGAACCAAATTGTATTTTGAACATCTGGAAGATGTGTTAAATCCACAGGTAGAGAAGATTTCTTTTTTGGCAGAGAGGTGTGGTTTTTTTTTTTTCTTCTCATGTCTGGTCAAATCGGATCCAACTGGCACAGGAGGAGATTGCCCCCCTTCTCTAGCAGAGCACCTTGTGGATTTGAACCGTGAACGTTCGGTATTGCAGCACAGCTTCTTACCACTAGGCCACCAGAACTCGCTGGCAGAGAGGCTTTTGGTTCTTTTTGTTTTTAATTTTATTATTTTTGTGTACCATCAAATTGGATCTGACTGGTATAGGAGGAGATTGTCACTTCCTTCTCCAGCAGAGCATCTGGTGAATTTGAACCACACACCTTTGGGATTGCAGGGCTTCTTGCCACTATGCTACCAGAGCTCCCTGATAGAGAGGTTTTTGTGAAACAAATTCAGGGGAAGCCTGAGAGACCTATCCATCACTTTATCAGGGTGTGGGGGCTACAAAGTAGGTAGAGAATGCTGGAGCTGAAGACCTGGGGAGGAGGACCAGGGCAGAGAGGAGTCCTGAGGGAGGAGGGAGAGGCCACGGCAGCTTCTTCCTGAGTCTCAGGCTGTGAGTGATGTTCTACTGTGGGTGGAGAACAGGATGTCCTCACGTTTCCTTCCTGGTCTTCAGCCACCTCAGGAACCTCCTTCATGGAATTCCCCACATGTGCCTGTGGGGAAGCCCCATGAACACCAGATGCCTGAAGAAGGCAGATCCTAAAGAGCCATAAACCTCGGCCTTGAGTAGTCAGGGTGGTCCAGGGAAGAACTAAGCCTGCCTGGAAGTGTTCACATTGAGAGTGGGGTTGGATGGGAGGCTCCCCCACTGGCTGAGGTACCCCAGCTGCACCCAGGGATTCAAAGGCCCCCTGTCCTGTGCGTCCTGCGTGTTAGTTAGCCCTGTAATTAGACTGCTTCCCCACGCGTGGCTGGCTCCCATTCTTGGGCTTCCAGTGGCCATGAGGGATGAAAGGTAGACATCTCTGATTATAGGAATGGCAGGTGGGTCTTGACGGCTGCAAGGCGTGGATAGAGGCAGGAAAGGAGCAAGGGGAGGGTCTGGGTCACTGATAGGGAGAGCTGGGTCACTGGGTCCTGGGGCTGGGGTACTAAAATGAGAGACGCCACCATCATCAGAGGTTACCTATTAGCCATGACCTTCCAAACGGGTTTGACCAGTTAGGTTCTGATGGGAGTCCTTATGTTACTGGGCCAGCCCCTCCCCAGACACTCATCTCCTCCTCTCCCTCTTCCCCTATAAAGCCTCTCTGGGTTCCCAGCCAGCCAGACACCCCGACTTTGGGGGTCAGGAGACAGCCACGATGCTTAGCTGGAAACTCCTGGGGATCCTGGTCCTTTGCCTGTGCACCCAAGGTGAGCTAGGGGTAGAGACTCAGACTACAATGTGGGGTGCTGGAGGTGGTCAGAGCAAGAGCAGTAAGAGTGCCCAGTAAGTAAGAAAGAAGGGGTGAATAGAGCACATGGGGTGAAGAAGATTCTGGGGATTTGACTGAAAGGGTCAGGGCTCATGGTCGACAACGTTTCTTTTTGGCTGGTCCTGGGGTAATTCCATGTGAAGATTTAAATCGGATTCTTGTGGGCTGGTCATTGGCACCGGGTCTGAGCTCAGGAGGGTGGAGGTCATTGAAGTGGGATCTAGGTGTCCCAGGAAGCCAAAGTGTGGACACTTCGGGCTGTAGATCAGCTTAGGGGTGGATGGGGCTTATTTGAGGGAACAGTTTAAAGTTGGCCAAGCCAATGGTTCAGATCAAGATGGGGTTGCATGCCATTTTAAGATGTTGTAAATGTAGCAAGTTTTTGAGAGTTGATTTTGGGGTTTGTGTGTGGGGTCAGCAGCCCTGGAGGTCTATCCCTCAGAGCTGACATTCCTGGCATTGTAGCTAAGGGGCTGAGGGGGAGCTGGTCCTCATCCTCTTCACCTCTCCTTCCTCTTCTACAGGGATCTCAGGCAGCGGGGACCACCCCTCTCCTTCACCTACAGAGACCCACGAAGAGGAGAGCTACCCAACATGGCCTCAGGGTCCCCCAGTTCCTGGTGACCCCTGGCCAGGAGCACCTCCTATCTTTGAAGATCCTCCATCTCCAGTTCCCAACCGTCCCTGGAGAGACCTTCCTGATACTGGAGTCTGGCCCCCTAAGCCTTCCACAACAAATCCCCCTCAGCCTCCTCGGCCTGATGACCCCTGGGCAGCAGGTACCCAGCCTCCAGAAAATCCCTGGCCACCTGCCCCCGAGGTAGACCAGCCTCTGGAGGAGCCAGACCTTGACCCACCCCAGGAGGAGTACAGATAGAGGGGAGCACTCCTGCTCCCAGGTACTCCAGTCTTGTGGCAGATTGCTCACAAACCCACCTTTACCCTACAGGTTCTCCTGACAATCTGTCACCTCCTTACCCAGTTTGGCCCAATTCCTCACTTCCTTTCCTCATGCTCAGTGTCTCCTATCCCTTCTTGAGATCCTTATTTAGTCCTTGTGTTTTCCTTCCTTCTCCCTCCGGCTCCCTAAACATGCACTTCTACCTCACATCCAGGCTTCTCCCCACACCCACCTTTCTAACCTCCTCACTTCTCCCCTCAACTCAGGGGACAGAGCTGGTGGCACTGTGTTCTCTGTTTCCATCTGGTGACCACAGTTGGAACTGGCAACAGACAATGGTAGTGCTTTCCTGAAATCGAAAAATAAAAACCATATACTGTACTGCTAATTTCTGAGTCTAAACTGTGTCTTTGTTAATGATTCTGTCTTTGAATATTCAGCCAGCCTCCTCAAAGTGTTAGTTTACTGAGATCCAGGAGTATTTGAACTTCTGCATTGTCTGTTGTGTGTAAGGATGTGGAGTTCAGCAGGAAGATTGGACATAAAACTATTGAGCACAGAGATATTCAGATCCACATTTTTTTTTTTTTCAGATCCACATTTTGACTTCACTTTTTTATTGGATCCACTGTACTCTTCCTGGAGCTGCCAAACGTAATTTTGTATTTGATATTATATTAATTATCAATATTAATGAGAAATATCAATCTTTCTCCACACTTGTTCAATCCCTATACATAGCAAATCATTGGAGAAGCTGAACCTTGTGGGGAAGAATGTGGCATCAGCATTGGAGAAAGACTCATTAACAGCCTCTGTTTCACATATGACACAACCTTGCTTATAGAAAGTAAAGGAGTCTTGAAGTGATTTCTGAAGATGATCAAATGACAGCCTTTAATATAGATTGCTTTTTTTTAAATTGAAAACATAGATTTCCTAATTTCATTTTCTATCACGTAGGCTAAGAACGCATTGCCATAGAGTCAAAGGTTGTTACTGAACACAAGGGGTTCTTTCTGTAGTCAATCGCCAGTAAGACAACTGGATTGCAATATCCATAAATGCACTTTATTACAGAGATCTGGGAGACAGTGAGTCACTTCCAAGACTGTCTCCCCATCTGGGAGTGGTCATGGGCTTTTATAGGATGGTGAGACATCAACTTCCTTAACAATAAACTTTTGTTAGTAAAGTAAAAGAATTTCTATATCTGAAAGAAAATCATTCAAACCCAGATACTCCCTTTCCAGAATATGGATTGAATTTCAATGTCAAGAAAACAAAAATCTTCATCACTGGGCCAATGTTGTTACTGTGTGTCTTCAAGTTGGAACCAGCCCTTAGGCTGACCCTCCAATGTGTTTTCAGAGGCAGGAGGAGATTGCTCACCTTTCTTCTATAGAGCAGCTGGTGGATTCAAACTGCATGACTTTTGGGATTGCAGCACAGGTTCTTAGCACTAGACCACCAAAGCTAGGTGGCCAATAGCTACTAGGCCAATAGACCACTTTATAATAGATGGAGAAAAGATTGAAATTGTTAAATGATTTAATATTATTTGGATTCACTCCTCTATCAATGAGTGCCCTTGATACCAACAGTCAGGACAGCAGGAGACATACTATGTTGGAAAACTCTGCTGTCAGGGACCTCACAAATGTGCTGAAGAGCAAAGATATCTGTCAGTTTAAAGACTAAGGTGCACCTGATCCAAGCCATGGTCTTTTCAATTACTTATTATGCATCTGAGAGTTGGAAGTGAATAAAGATAACACAAGAATTGATGCTTTTGAGTTGTGATGTTGGAGAAGAGTATTAAATATCTCATGGATTTCCAAGAGGAAAAACAAATACGTCTTGGAGAGGGTGAAGCCAGGGTATTCCTTAGAGGGAAGAACACTGAAACTTCACCTCATGCTGGTCCTTGGAAAAGAATATCATGCTTAGAAAAGTGGATGGTCAGTAAAAGAGGGCAAAACCCTCAACAAGATAAATTGACACAGTAACATTGGACTTAAGTGTGACAGAGTTGATGAAGATGCCATATAGGTTAGGACAGGGTTCAGATCCATTGGTCATAGGGTCTTTATGAGTTATAGTTGACTTGACGGCACCTAACAACAACAACAATCTTTTGGGTTAGTAGCACAAACAACCCCCTATGGATGAGACCACCAAAGCTCCCTTTTGGCAAAATTTCTCTCAAAACCCACTCCTCCCGCTTTGCCTTAGAGTGAGAACCAACTCAGATCTGACCTTTCAGCAGGTTTTCTGAGGCTGTAAATATCATAGGAAGAGATTGTATTTCACACAACGAATCACTGGTGGATTCGAACCACCGAAGAAACAAAAAAGAGGAACCCCCTCAATGAACTGGGCTGACATAGTAGCAACACAGTAGCTGAAGCGCAGCAGTAATTGTGAGGAGGGGCAGGGGCAGGCTGGGTTTAGTTCTGCAACAGCCCGCAGACCACTATGAATCAAAGCTCAATTAACAACAACACTTTCAGTGATGTTGACTGCAAGCTTTGAGTTGTGCAATCCTTGTTAGCCTCCTTTTCTGAGCTGTTCTTCCTCCATTAACATAAACTCACCGCCTGATAAGGTCCCTATCTAATCTTTCAAGTCCTCAATTTGATCCTCAAACAGATAGCTCTTAAAAGGGCATAGTGTTCAGAAAGACATTCTTCACTAATTAAATTAAACTATTATTTGGGGTTTAGTGGAAAGTAGTTGGGATGCACATACAAAGGCATTCAGTTCAAATCTACCGGAGAAAGTTGCCTCTGAAAACTCTTTTGGAGGGTAAACTATGCGTGGGTTCCATAGGATCTAAGACAACAGTGTTGCTCGGTTTTAAGGAGGCTTCAGGTAATATTTTTGTTTTAAGGTTTAAAGATTATCTGAGAGGTTCACCCAGCCTCCAAGCCCCCACATAACCTGGATTCTCAGAAACTTTTAATTCTATTCTGCATTTTTCTCAATTTTGATGAGTAAAATGTGTTTTCAGTCTTCACAGGGTCAGACTGTCACATCTTGTACTTTCAATCCTTATAGGAATGAATTTTTCATGTGGAGCAGCTGGTGGGTTTGAACAACTCACCTTTTGGTTAACAGCTGACTGCTTTAATTGTAGTCATCAATATTTGTAGCTATGACAAGTTGTGTTTTTAAATATACAGGGAGTTCCTGATCTATGACATATACAAGTATTGAAGTGTTTGTGTTCTCATCACCAGATCTTTATTCCTACTCTATATAAGGCAGGAGGTACCACGGAAACCTATATAGCACTATCCATACTGGGAAGACCTTGGACTTCCCTTGACAGACAAATGGTGATGATGCCAGGAATCTATCCTCAGCCTATTGTCTGAAGGCTAATAATTCTACCACTGAACCCACCACTACTCTCCTTGGCGGTAGAATTTAGTAGGGTTACTACCAATCAAAAAGGACTGAACGGCAATGATTTTTGTTATTTGTTTTAAAGTGAACGAGATCCACCTATTTGCCCCTTCATGATCTTATACTCTTACTATGTCCATCAATTTCAGGTGTGGTGAGAGAATAAAAAGAGTAAAAACATATAGGTTCCATTCTCAGGAAGTTTACAACTTAGCCAAGGGCAGACTGTTCGTATTTACATGCAAAGGCAAATATCAACGTCACAAAGACTAAGGATGTTGATTAAAAAATTACATGAGTAAGCACCAAAATAGTTCTTGGCAATCAATTCTAAGAGCTCAGCGATGGAAGAGTCACGGTCAATTGGAACAGGCTTCCAGGAGGGGCCGGAGCAGGGCCCACGGGCAAGGTCAGGGAGTTGACAGACCTAGCCCAGCTATGCGCAGAGACGCATGCGCAGAAAATTCCCTCTGCCGCTCCTCCGCCAGTGTGCAGGTCGCGCTAGTCTTCCGCAACCCTTCTGCATCGCTCTCTGCAGGAGCCAACCTGGTGCCCCGCGGGCACCGAGCCTATTTCAGGCCTCTGCCTTTGAGCGTGTTGTCTCTCTGTTAGGAGTGATTGACTTCTGTACTTTTCTTCAGTGAAGTACCCCCTTCCCTCGCCCACTCCTCCACGCACCCCGCGGTCTGTGGTGTCTGGTACAAAACTGGCAGACGCGAGGTAGGCACCTCCGTCCCTCCTTTCTAGGCTGTGCGCTTCCTGGTCCTCTGGCGCAGAAGGGAAGTCTGACATAAGCCACAGAAACTGTCACATAAACAAGGCTGATAATCAACCACATAACAAGGTTGACATAAACCACATAAACGGACATAAACATGGCTGATAATAAACCACAATCGTTTTTTACTCCTGGTGGCCCCCTTGTGGTACAGAGTGGAACTACTCCTCCGTGTCATTAGCGGTGATCGCGGTTGTGTTCTCTCTGGTGGCCAAGTTGGTAGGGCGTTGTGCTGCTAACTCGAAGGCCGCGTTCAAATCCACGGAGCAGCTCCTCCGAAAAATGCTTGAGGGTGGTTTATGAATTGTTGCGACTCGATGGCAATGAGTGAGTGAATGTTTAAGGCAAGAGCTCTGATGACTTAGTCCATAGGTGCTGCACAGCTAATTAACTCTTCTTTGGTGCTTCGAATCCACAAGCAGCCGTCCAGAGAAGGAACTGTTAATTTTTCACTAAGTCGTCAAGTGCAGTTTGCACCAACCAAGGACCTTTGATGAATGTTGTTTGTTGTTGTTCGGTACTCTTGAGGCGAGTTAGACTCTTTTTTTTTTAATTTTTTTTAAATTTTTGTGCATGTACCGTCAAATCAGATCTGACAGGTACAGGAGGAAATTGTCCCTCCTTCTCCGGCAGAGCATCTGGTGGAGTTAGACTCTTAAGAACCCTATAAACAACAGATCTGAACCTGTCCTGTCCTGTGCCATCTTCATCATCTATGACACACTTAAGCTTATTGCTGTAGACATTATGTCAATCCATCTTATTGAGAGCCTTCCTCTCTAGCATC